AGAACTCCAGTTTACAGACCTTCATTTAAAATTCCATTTGGGCAGTTAAGACAACCTAAAATTGCTTTCTTAGATGCTTTCCTGAAATTTAAATTAACCACCATCATTAAACATTCCCTGGTCAATGACTTGCCCACTCAGATTTTTTAAACATCAGTTTTGTCTAGCATGGTTTTTGGTTTTTTTTTTTTTTTTGGAAACCATGTTGGTTATGTGTGACCTGCCCATCTTTTCACAGTGTCTGCTCAATAAGCTTGTACAACGAGTCTCTGGTAAGAGACAGGCGTGGGAGGGAAAATATTTCTCCCTAACCACAGAAAAGGTTTTTCTTTTTTTTTTTTTCTTTTTGACAATGCCTTTTAACTGTGGATACCCAGGGTACCTCACCCAGCAGGAAAGAGAACTCTCTTTCTGCTATTAGAAAATAACACTTCACTCTGCTAAGCCCTTTTATAAGCTTCCTCCCGTGGAAGAGAGAATCAAAATCATGCACATTTGTTTAAAATTCCCACGTGCCTTGAGAAGGAAGGCCTTTAGTTTAAGAGACATGCACCTAAAAGTAATGAACTCTGTGATATAAGATTATTTTTCACATGCATAGTCAAGTGTTTTATAATGTGATGAACCTTTGTTTTTAAAGCCTGATGCTTTTTATTGTATAGTAGTATTAAGCGTTTTTATTAATGACCAAAGAACATTGTATCTGTGCAGACATGGATGGATTTTAACAAAACTGAAAACCAGCTGGTGGGCCATGGGAGCAGCCTTCAGAGGACCCAGGGAACTGAAAAGAATCTGCCTTTTTATTTAACTAAAGTCTTAAAAATAACTCATTGGGCTTTGAATTTCAATTGTTTGTTGTTTTTTTTTTTTAAATCTGTTGTGTGGTCAGGTAGTTATTTTTATCATCTGGCATAATTTTTAACTAAAGCAACAAAAGAATCAATAGTGTTATAAAAGCCACTTATACTGTGAGCTTGAACAACTGCTTTGTGCCACAAAATTCCTGTTGCTACCTCTGTTAGTGACCGAGTAATTCAGTGTCTTGAATGTCAACATGTTTTTATTACCCGGCTAAAGTTGACTTTGCTGGATTAAATGTCATTTAAAATGATCAATTGGCAGCTTGTTTGGGGCTCTTTTCACATTTATGAAAGGGAAAAGTTTGCAGGCTACAAATGGTCTTACAACTCAAGAGGTAAAGTCCGTGCTCTGGGAAACCCTGCCTTCCAGGTACCAACCAAACACAGATCACATTCTAGACCTTTTTCAGTAAATGATCTACAATGTGAAGTTCCCAGTTTGATGCCTCTCAAGAACCCAGCGTGGTAGGTACCCAGAATTGGTTTAAACCCTTACTTTGAGAAATGGTCTGGTTCTCACGTCACCATTTTATGAGAAATAGAATGTACAAGGCAGTAAAAGAGAAGCAACAGAAACAATGAAAGTGAAAATCCTTGAGCAGATGGTGTCAAGACAACACTCATCTTACATTTTAGCTCCAGGAAGTACTCAAGGTTGAGAGGACTACCCATGCATCACTTACCTTCATGTGGGCAAAAAAAAGTTCTTTCTATCAAACTGCTAAAGATGACCAAATCAGTCTTTTTTTAAATTATTAATAAAATGATTTACTCTAGAGAATCTTATTCCCCATCCACAAGCATCCAAAAGGTGTCATCAAGCCTCTAAGTGGTAAAAAAGATTGTAACCCTGTCAAGAAACATGGACAAGAAGCTCTTCACAAACCACCTTTGTTCCTCCTAGTGGAAGGGCATTTTGTGTGATAATATTTGGTCCTGTCAGATAGCTTCCACTTGGAAGAGGTTGTTGGAAATTAAAACCCATCTGCTGTTTGACGGTAAGACACAAACTGGACAATTAAACTGCAATTCAGTTCTCTATTGGAGAAGGAAATGGCAACCCACTCCAGTACTCTTGCCTGGAGAATCCCATGGATGGAGGAGCCTGGTAGGTGACAGTCCATGGGGTCATAAAGAGTCGGACACGACTGAGCAACTTCACTCTTTCACTTCAGTTCTCTGTTTTTTCATCTATGATAAAAATGATATAAGATGAGGAGGTGGCAGAGAGGGAGAATGACACTGCCTGCTTCGCCACTTTTCCTGGAGTTGCCCTCTTACAAGTGTCTTAAAAATGAGCTCGGTTATTCTCAGTCTGGGACAGTGTGGCACTCACCTCCCAAGGTCCTTCCTCTTGCTGGGACTGGTCCCCTTGCTGTCTCATTGCTCCTTAGCACCCCCCTCTGGCAACCATGAGCACAGTGTCAGGCAGGGTTGGTAAGAGAATCGCTGGCCAGCTTTCGTAAGCGTGGGGTTCAAACGCCAGAAATTCTCTAAGGACACCACGGGTCCTTTGGTGAAACACAAGAAACCACATGTCAACTTTTTTTTTAATGTGCACCATTTTTTTTTAATCTTTATTGGATTTGTTACACGGTATTGCTCCTGTATTATGTTTTGAGTTTCTGGCTGCAAGCCCTGTGGGATCTTAGCTTCCCTGATCAGGGAATGAACCTGCATTCCCTGCAGTGGAAGGGGGCTGGGTCTTAACCACTGGACTGCCAGAGAAGTCGCCACATTAAATTTTAGACATAGATCAATCGGGGGAAAAAAGGATACAGTAAGGGATACTAAAGATGTATGGTCAGACTTCTTGGCGGTCCAGTGGTTAAGACTCCATGCTTCCACTCAGGGGGCTCATGTTGGATCCCTGGTCAGGGAAGTTCCGCACGCCTCTCCGTGCACCCAAATTTAAAAAACAAAAAAGATAACTGAAAATGTAAAACTCTTAGAAGAAAACATAGGCAGAAGTATTTGTGATCATGGCTTAGGCAACTATTTCTTAGATATGACATTTAAAGCATAAGTAACTGAAGAAAAAATAGATTTTAAAAAAAGACATCTGGTCATTTTAATTTTAATGGATGTCCAATTTAAGTTTCATGGTTGCTGCCTAAAAGATACTTCCCTGGTGGCTCAGATGGTAAAGAATCCGCCTGCAATTCAGGAAACCCAGTTCAATCCATGGGTGGGGAAGATCCCCTGGAGAATGCAATGACAACCCCTCCAGTATTCTTGCCTGGAGAACCCCCATGGACATAGGGGCCTGGTGGGCTACAGTCCATGGGGGTCACAGAGTCGGACACAACCAAGCGACTAACACTTTCACACTTTTCCCTCCTGGAAGATGCTGCGCTTGTGTGCCAGTTCCTTCTGCTGCTCAGAGGGAAGGCTGGACACACTCATCTTGCTTGGAAAAGTCCTAAAGCTTGACTAATAGACACCTGTGAACCAACTTCTCTGAGAACAGAGTTCTCAGCAGGATGTGTGGCACAGACTCTGACCTGTGTCATATAAGCTGTGCCTTTGAGCCAATGACCAAACCCTCTAAGCCTCAGCTTCCTCAGCCATGAAGTAGGAATAGCAACAGTGCTGGCTGCACCGGGTGTCCTGAGGGTCAGAAGCAAGTGGCTGGAGGCACGCATGGCCCCATGCCTGCAAGCAGCACCCAGCACGCACCTTCATCGGGACACTCCTTACTGTCTTCTTCACTCGCATCATCACTCATACAGTAGTCTCAGAAAGAGTCACTGTTGTCGTTCCCCTTTCATAACGGAGGAACCTCAGGGAGATTGAAAAAACTTGCCCAATGCAACCTGACTCGATTCCTCCTGTAAACGTGTGCCCGAGGAGGGTGCGTTTTGTGCTCTGGGCGGTGAATGTGTTGGCGTTGAGATAGCCCAAGTCAAGATTAGACATTCCTCCTGGCCATACAGAAGCCCCAGAGTTCAGATCCCGCTGACCTGGGGGGCACAAGAGGATTAGGAAGGAGGTGGCACGCCAAGTGAGGGTCAGAAATAACATGGTAACATGCAGAACACACACACGGTGTCCAATCCTTACTCATTTACGACCAGCCGTGCTGGCCAGTGCTCCCCAAAACATCAGCGCACACCTGGGAAGGTGAGTCTCTGACTCTCATCCCGAGGCTGGTCCTGCACCAACTAGAGCCGCAAAGTCCACATCTGTCCCCATCCCCCTGTCAAGGCTGTGCCAGGGGAGCAGGCCACATCCTGTCTGGCACTAATCCAGTAAGCACTGGAGCAAGGTCAAGGTGCAGTCTGCCTCTTCTCGTGGAATTTGCCAACCCGTAGCCAAAAGTCAGGGCCTAGCCCAGCACCTGGCCTGTGCTAAGGAAGATGTGTTGCCTGACCAAGCAATCCAACATCTGTTCTGCACATGGAGAAACAGATTTTTTTTTTTTTTTTTGCCCTGGGTTCCTTTCTACCCTGATTCCATTATAATAAAACTATTTTAAAAACCTCCAAAGTAGCTCTAAAGTAGCTGTTTTCTTAAACCACATGGGTCTTCCTTTCCCACAGCCAACCTTAGTCATCACATCTCCATCTGTTCACTGTCCCCCCACCAAAGGACCTTCCACCCCATCACTGACACCACACTGCCCTCTCCAGAACACGAGGGCACTCTCTGCCCTTTACCTGCCATCCTGTCTTCAGCCCCTTTTCAGAACCGATTCATTTCCCGTTAGAGCTTGTTCTGTCCCTCCTGTGGGCTCTAGTCAAGTTCAAATCGTGGGTCATGACCGTAGACCAGTCCTTTCCTCTTTCTGGGTTGCTGTGTCCTCATCTGAGCTCGCGGGGAGTGGGGGTCTGGGCCAGGATGGCCTCGAAGTCCTCCACAGGTCAAAGGTCGCCATCTCCCAGGTCTCTCTCTGCCTTGGTCTCATCACTGTAAAAGTTTTGTTGTTTTTGTTTTGGCTTGCGGGATTGAACCCTGGCCCTTGGCAGGGAAAGCACAGAGTCCTAACCACTGGACTGCCAAGGAGTTCCTAAAACAAGGAGGCTGGACTCAATCCGAAGAAGGCAAAAGCGGTTCCTCAATTATTTTCTTGATTCTTGCTCTTCATACTTACAAGCAGCCTTGTCAATGGTGTTTTCTTGCCCTTTTCCTCTGTAGACTGTAGACTGCTTTGGGATTACGTCTATCAGTTGCTTTCTGACAGCCGGTACGAAAACTTCATCCGATGGGAGGACAAAGAATCCAAAATATTCCGGATAGTGGATCCCAATGGACTGGCTCGACTGTGGGGAAACCATAAGGTAAAAAGGGCATCAGACATTTGTTCCATAAACTAGGGCCCAAATCCAGTTTTTGTCCCTGGGTTGGAGGGTAATTGTCTTCTGCTTCCTAAGTCGGCCTGTAATTATTCAGTTTATTCCTCACCGGACAAACAATTAAGACAGTTGCAAGGGGAAGGAAGTAATTAAAGATGCCCCTTTCCATGTGTTCCTCGTGCCAGGCTGCAGTTAACTCAGCATCTCCTGGTCTGATGGGCCTCGTGACGAGTAACCATCACTCCCCCACCGCGGCCTGGCTCCGCTGCTGCCCACGCCAGCGTTAAGAACTGGGGACCAGGGATGCAGTGTAGCACTTTATAACTCACAAGGGGCCTTTGGGAGGTGTCGCTTCTGTTCCACTCTGTTAGACACTCCGATGGTCACAAAAGCCCAGTTCTACAGAGAAAATGCTTATCCTCTTGACTGTAAAACATCTCCCTGAAAAGCAAACCCTGCAAGAATTCTGACTGCCCCACCGTTTTTCCAGCTTGGGAAGAGGGAATCAAATTTAAAAGATTTAGTCTTTTATAGTTAGAAAAAATCATTAAAGTGCACAGATATAAAAGGTGGGTAAAACAACCTCAACATCATGGATAGATGAATGGATAGCAAAATCGAGCTATATACGCACAATGGAGTAGTATTAGGCTTTTAAAAAAGATTCGGCTGCATGTGGCAACATAGATGAACCTTGAGGACAGGATGCTGAGTGAAATAAGCCAGTCACAGAAAGACAAATACTGCCTGATTTCACTTAAATGAAGTTAGATCTAAAGCAGACAAATTCCACCGAGGCCGGGAGTGGACTGGTGTTGCCAGGGGTTGGGAAGAGGGGGGAAAAATGGAGAGTTACCAACCATTGGACAGAAAGCTTGCATTAATCAAGATGAGCAAGTTCTAGAGCCTGCTGTACAATAGTGTACCTGCAGTTAACACTGTATGAAGTGCTGTATTACCCACTTAAAACTTTAAGAGGATAGATCTCACGTTTGGTGTTCTTATCACAGTAAAATAGAGTTCCCCTGTTTAAAAAAAAAGAATTGAGATAAATCAGTATTCCTACTTAAAAAGTCACCAAGATCCAGGCCTGGCCATAGGCAGATAGACATGGGACAGAGCTGACAAGACACCATGAAGGCCCCACTCCAGATCAGCCCAAAGGGAGGGCCCGGGGAGGCCCTGCCGAGCTGTGCCCCAGCTGCGGTTTCCCGGACGGCAGGCAGCCCGTGCTCTGGGCCGGCTAAGGAGAACCTGCCAGAGGCCATGACCAAATATGGCCAGGCCCCATGGACACCCTCCATCCCGTGAGTCACTGAGAAAAATCGCTCCACAGCTCCCACAGGGTGCCCTTGCCCCAGGGCTCGGAACCACTGTATTCTTGCTTCCACAACAGGAATTTAAACAAAAAAAATCCCTTCCTTAAAATGACAAACGAGAAACACAAGTTTGAGAAAGGTCACTTTTTTGTGTGTTGTTTTTTCTTTTTTAGAAAGGGCAAAAGGAAGGGAAGTTCTCTGTGGGTCAGAAGGTGAAGGATGACCCCAGATAGGGGGACCCGCAGGAAATTCTTGGGGCACAACAGAGCGCGGTCCTGGGAGAGGAAGTCGGGGAGGCCTAAGCGGGATGTGCTCTGTTGGCTGGACTCACCTGAGGAAAGACCTCGGCCAAGGGCACGGGGGACAGAGCCCGGGGTGGGCCTGGCAGGGCCACGGGAGCACCCTGTGGAGCTGGGTGTGAGGAACTCCTCCAGCGCCTGGTTCTGAGGTTCATTTCATTGTGTCTTTGTGCTTTTTTTTCTCTCTCTCTTCCTCCTCTGAACAAACAGAACAGAACAAACATGACCTATGAGAAAATGTCCAGAGCCCTGCGCCACTACTACAAACTAAACATTATCAGGAAGGAGCCGGGACAAAGGCTTTTGTTCAGGTAGCACTTCCTTTTTCTCCTTTCCTTCTTCTGGGAGGATATTGTTTTCTTGAAATAAGATGGAGGAGGGAGACGGTTGATGTCTCTACCTGCTTGTCTGATCCTCAAAGCCATCACTGCTACTCACTGGAGACCAGGTTGCTGGTTGGTTAGAATTTAAGGGAGAAAAACTTTCTGTTTGCTTATGTCTGTCCTAGCAGAAAGCCAAAAGTAAATCAACACAGTCCGACTCACCTTTAAAATAATGCAGTGATCAAACAGTATTATCTGGCATTTATATCCAGTATAGTTAAAGGGAGCAATTAGAGGAGCTAATGGCAAAGAAAGGGACTAAAGAAACGTAGACGTCCAGGTTGCCAACACTGGGCTGGTGTTTGTCATGACCTGTTAGTGAGTCATGAAACAGATTTAATGAATCAGGTTGGTTGTTGTTTTTTTATTTTAATGAAATAGAACAGAACTGAATAGGAAAGGATAGAGTTGGAAATATCAGACTGTGTCATGTGAATTAAGAGTGTGGCTTCATGAAAATTGTGTTTCTGGGGTAGTCGGGTGTGTGTGTGAGCACGTGTGTGATGAGTCATACTGTAAGATATATTTATGACAGTGCATTGCAAATGTCTGAAAGCCACTGAACTAGACATTCCTCTTCCCAGAATTCCTCCCAGCTTACAAGTTCTAACCACTTAACCTACCGCCATAGGTTGTGATTCCCAGGGAATCACATACAGTTAGAAGAGGAAAAAGAAGGTCTCTAAGGGACCAATCAGGAGAGGTAGACAGAGCCCTCTGACCCTGGTGGTAATTGATGTGTTGAGACCACGGGAAGCTGAGGAGAAGCTGGGCCCCAGACCTTAGGTTCTGGGTTTTGGCAGGTACGGAAGAGAGTTACAGATGGGGCTTGAGATGTGGGTTGGGGGTAGAAAGAGACTGAAAGACACTGTGTATGAGCACATGAGCTCACTGGGAATAATTACTTATCCGAAAGAGCAGAGAACCTGGGTGTTAGTGCTGGGAAGGCATGGTAACTTAGGGGCAGTAAAAAACAATTGTGATCTTCAAAAGAAACAGAGAAGGCTTTTTAAGAACTGTTATCAGAAAAAATGCAAAGAGAACCCTCCTTTCTCTGGCTCTGCTGATGCCTTCCCTTCATCCTTCACCCTAAACTCAGTCCTTGGCTTCTGTTCCTCCCACTTTATACTAGTTTCCTGCATGAATGGATCCCATGACACAGCTTAGTTATCACCTCCATGACGGGGCTGTCAAGTCTCTACATGCAGCTATAAAATCTCCCTGGAATTCCAAATCTTAACACATTATTGACTAGGGGATTTTTGCAGAACTGAATTTATTATGGAATTGAAATACTGAAACACTCCAATCAATAACATTCGGGTAACAAAAGATGTGTAGGTCTCTGGTCAGTAAGTGGTTAATGTTCAAGAGCTTCTTGGAAGAGATATCCGCTTAAATATCACATTAGTATCTCAGACGTGAAATGTTCAAGACCAGCCTTCTTCCCATACTGGACATCCGCCTACCCTAAGAATTCCTATTACATCAGCAGTGGCATCACCATTGTTTAAGCAACCAACCTTTACACCAGAGTTACCTTTGAGCCTTCCTACATCCCAGTCACCCCTGTGCTGGACTGTCCACTGGCTCCGTTCCTACTCCAGTCTGTGTTGCAGGGGCTAGAAGACTGGAAACCTCATTTCCTGAGATTTCTTACCACCAGGTTCCAGGTTAGAATCTACCAATGGCAAGTACTCCCATGTGACCTGGAAGATGAAAGCAAGGCAGACCCATTATTATTGCTTCCCGGGCAGTGTCTAGACACAATTGACACCTAGATTCAGCAATCTCTACCTCTGGTCCATTCCCCTGCCACCTAGATTCTTAATACACATTGCCAGCTGCCCTCCAACACTAATGTCGTTCCTTATGTCAGAAATGTAAATCACTTTAACATTTTAAACATAAACCACCAAATCTACCTCAAGTCTAATTCTGTTTATGAGGCCACCTTCCGTGGTTCAAACACACCCAAATGTCTTCTTCCATCATCTCTTGGGATCCCTTGGCCCTATGCCACACCGTGATTTACATTTTTAATAGCTGTACATGTGAACTCCTCCCCACAAATAGGTCATAAGCTTCTAGAAGGTAGAGGGTTACATTTTATATCAGTTTTATATAACCTCAGGAAGCTTTCGATAATATTTTTGGACAAGGCTGGTGGGAAGTATCAGAAACTTAATATAGAAGAGCCATCCAAAGATAGGGTCAGACACAGCATATCTGAGGACTCAGCCTTGAGGGGATGATTAGTGACTTAAGATGTCAAGGGAGAAGTTTTAGCTACAGGATAAAAGTGGAAGACAGGCTGTGGATACTACAGATCACCCTGCTTGAAAAGATGAGCAATAATGGGCAGAAAAGAAAAGTAGTCAGAGGTGGAAGGCTCACAGGTTTCCAGCAGTGATTTCAGTAAGACAGAAGGAAAGAAGAGCGCTATTTGTGACAAGGGATTAGTCATTTTTGAGGAAATGAATGTCAAGAACCAGACTCGCCCCAAAACCAAGGCTTGTCGGTATGGAACCAGGTATGTAATTGAGTAAAGTGTTAAATTGTAGGGACGCTTGAAGATTTTCAGCTCTTTGATGGTGAGACCCAGCTCAGAGAATGAGTCGGTCTCAGACAGGGGAAGGAGTCAAGAGGGTTCCAAACAAAGGCAAAGCTAAAGGTTTGGAGGTCGGCAATGAGCTGTGACTTGCGTCAGAAAAAAAAAGACTGGCTGGACTGGAATAGAGTTCACACTCATAAACGGTGGAACACGGGAGTTTCCTGGGTTGAGATGACAGAGAGGCCCAAGGAGCAGGCCAAAGCGTGAACCCTTGACAAGTCGTCCTAGGCTTTTGAATGTGGAGTGAGGACGGAAAATGCCTGTTCTAAGACAGATCATATGGTACCAGGCAGAGTATAGGGGAAGGGAATGGTGTATAGGCTGTGGAAAGGGCCTTCTTACCATAAGGATGGAACGTTTGCACCCTGGCTCCCTTCCTGAACCACGGTCATGGTCAGAATGTGCCACTGACGTTACTTCCAAATGAACCCAGCAACTGAGATGAGGCTTGCTGTAGGCACCCAGCTGGCAAGGAAGACAGAATAAAGGGAGTGAATGGCTAGCATTCAGGGTGCATCAGTGATAATGCTGAAAAATGTCTTTCTCTTGGCCTTGCTAATTTCCAAAAGCCCCACTGTCTGGCCCTGTTACCCAAGCTTTCCATCCAGCATTTAATTGTATCCTCCAAGTTAGATTCAAGTTTTGAATACCATCACTTGGGCTTATAGTCTGGGATGGAGATGGGTATGTATCTCCCGGGGTCCTCTCAGGTGGTCATGCAGGAATGCACTGCCTGCTCCATCTTCACCATCCTCCCAGCCTTTTTTATAGTTGTTTTGCCAGCTTTCAAGCAGTGAGAGCCCAGGGTATCTTTTTCTAAGAAAACACTAGGTTAGGATTAACGATCAGGGTCAGTAGACCTCCAGCTACGTGAAGGTGACGGGCCCCTCTTTTTAAAGAGCTCAAGGTGAAGACAGCTTTAAGGAACTGTAACCTCTTCATGCCACCGTTTCCTCTTCCAAAGGTTTATGAAGACCCCAGATGAAATCATGAGTGGCCGAACAGACCGTCTGGAGCACCTCGAGTCCCAGGAGCTGGATGAACAAATATACCAAGAAGACGAGTGTTGAGGAAGTGGTTCCCGGCTTAGTGGGCCAGCAGCCAAGGGCACCCCACCCTCCCCAGGATGGATGGGGCAATGGAGCAGAAAGGAAGAGACACGGATGTGGCAGTAACACTCCTCTCGCCCAGCGCGAGGGACACTTCGGAGCACCTTAGACAAACCACTCAGCAAAGGCGGCGCTGGAGTTCTGGCCGAGGGCACCAGCCTGGGACTCGCGTTCATGGTTCCTTCTCGATCAGAATCTCTTGTCTGTGATCCCTCCCCCTCCCCCTCCACCTATTGTTAGTTTCATGGTGTTTTTGTTCTTTTTTTTAAAAAAGACCATGCAGTTTGACTTTTCATCATTCATATAGGGGAAGACATCTGAGGCTGTTTTCCTATGGAAATACATATCTATTATATATATATATATATCTATTTTTTGCAAATCTCACAAAGTGCAGAAGCCCAGCTGGTCAGGAGAGAGAATATTTGCAAAAGGGTTCAGGTTCCCTCTTGACCCTGCCACGTGGATCAGGTTTGTTCCTGTTGCTGTTGGGTCTTGGCTGGAAAAAGGAAAAAAAAAAAAAAGATGCTCTTACAAAAGATGAAGTGAAAAGGAGAGCTCTCTCCTCTCTCTGGCTCCCTTTCCTTCCTGGCCCCCGCTCCTCCCTCCTCACTGGCTGTTGAACTTCAGATGCCCTTTCAGCAGAGTTCAGCCTCTTGGAGAGTCTTGGGAATTTTCCACACCTGTACATTGGAATACGTGGTCTGGGTGCTTTGCAGCTGGCACCACAAAAATCAAACCCACATCCCAGCATCTGGCTCCCTGCCAGAGGGAGGCCAAAGGCCCCAGAGATGCTGCTGTCCTCCGGAAAGACACATGTGAGTCCAACAGGCCACCCCGATCGGCTGTGAGGACCGTGAGGCTTGGTGGTTCCCCAGAGCATAAGGCTGTCCAGATAATCTGGAAGCCCCAGCATCATGGGGTTAGTTTGAAGTGCTACAGAGCAAAAAAAAAAAAAAGACAACACAAGCCTTATGGTCCAGAAACTAGATGACAAGTCTTTGGTGGCATTGTGGATTATCCCAGAGCAGGTTACAGAGGGTCTTCTCAGCTCTATCCCAAAGGCCAGCTTGCAGTCAGTTTCATATCCTTTTTTTTCCCCCCTCAATTCCTAGCATTTTTTTTAAAGTTTCCTGGTGACACAGGGCATTTGAGAAGGAGGATCCAGGAGTGTGTCGTCTCAGTTGTCAGCAGTGTTTGCCAAGCCTGGGCAGACGGGAAATTCCTCAGATTCCTCACTTTTTCCCTTTTTCCTTCTTCCCTTGCTGTGTTTCAAAATGGACTCATGCGTGGCTCTTTTTCACCTCAAAGTAAGATCAGTCACATCTTATGAGGAAGGTGCCACCTCTTAGTACGTTTGATGATAACATATTTTTAGAAAGCTCTTGTTAGATTTTTTTTTTCTAGCCACTTAAATCAACTCTTCCAATACAGGCTCGGAATCCAACATTAGGAGTACAGTCTTTTTTTACTCAGAAAGGTTAGACCTGCCTTACACAGCACCGCCTCCTGGTTTCTCTCCGCTGCTTCTTTGTTGGGCGAGCATCTCATAGCTCCCCAGGGTACGTGTCTGCACTGTCAGCAGCACTTGCAGATGAAGCCAGCAGACCTCCAGGCATGTCCTCCAGCCATTTCTGATGGAGTCAGGCAGGCCCGGGTTGTGGGCACACAGGCAGGAGAAATTCTCCTGTCCCCTCCCCCACTCCCCAGCCCTACTGACAAGGACACCAGCCAGCAGGGAGTGGAAGGGGACAGACTGACTGTCGTTCAAGGACACTGAAAACGTTCCTGCCTCTTATGCAACCACAGAGAGATGCATGGAGGTGGCCGGCCTTCTCCCACCATCGCACACCCCCACCCCTAGTCCACCTTCTAGAATGCTGGGCCTGAAGTGAGGTCAGGGACCTCCAGTGTGGGCTCAAGGGTCCCCTAATGAAGGAAGGGTTTGGGCTCAGTCTGCTCCAATGGGGATGAGACCCAGCGTGCTACAGATGTCTTTCAAGAGTGTCAGCAGTACACAGGGATAACCTTCCAGCCTGGAAGGTGACTGATGTTGGCTCTCAAATGGGGAGATTAAGCCAAATACCTGGGAAGTCACTGAGTTGAAGGGCTGCAGAGAAAGGGTGGATCATCACTGAGGCTTTTTGTTCGATGTGACATCAGAGAATCTCTGTTCACCCAGGTGTAAGGACTCGGCCTCTTGTGGTCCAAAGAATCCTAACAGTTGAATTGTGCAGAGGAAATTCCCCTTTGCCCCCAGTGTTTCTGTATTTAAAGCAATATCCTCTAAGAATCTGTAAGGCATAGGCTGGCACCATCAGCCACTTGGAGAAATAGAAGGTGTCAACTCCAATCCAGTCTTTATTGTCCATCCAGATATTACCGTTACTGGTTTTCTGTTCATTCCCTTAATGGCAGAGGTTCTTCTCATTGGTTCTTTGAGGGAATCTTTGAGTGATGCTGACAGTAGGGATACATCATGTCCACTGCAGACCCGAAAGATTGCAGGTTCAGCTTAGCCAACTTGGGTGGGGCACCTGCTCGACACAGCCCCAAGAGCCAGGCACCATCCTTGCCCTCTGAGAGCTCACCTTCTTCCTGCAGAATCTATCCAGCATGAAATGTCTCACTTCAACACTAGGGGCGACAAAAATCTCACCTGGGACCAAATTAAGGGCACGTTCCTGGTCGGAATACTTGGCCTTTTCCTGCTGCCGTCATGGGAGCTCTTGGCTTGCAACATGAGAAACTGGGAAAGGAAGAGGCAGAACAGTGCTGCAAGGGAGTAACCTTACCCACCAGCGGTGTCCAAGGCGGACACTGTCGCTTGGATCTTGAAATTCTCTAGCATCTTCTCTTCCCTACACCTTGAGGCGGCCAGGGTGTCTCCTTTCCATCAGAAGAAAGCAGTGGCAAGTGGCTGGACTGGCTCCAGGGGAGTAATGTTATCTCTAAGATCTTTCTGTCCCCAGATGACATTGTCTTGCCTGAGGTAACATCACAGATATTCTGAATGCTTTGGCGGGTGGGCGTGTCCCCATGAGCAATGAGGAGTAACAACTGATGGATTACTCTCCTTTCAACAGTATGTTTAGAACCCTCTGCTCCATTATCTTCCTACACTGATACTTTGTCCAGATGAGAATGTAGATTTAGCTGAAACTTAAAGGCCATGACAGCATGTACCTAAATGCCTAGGTAACCACCACTTCCACCGTTCACTGCCTAGGATCCCACATGTTTGAAACGTTAGCTCTCCTTCTGAAGAACGGAAATCTGAGTATCAGGCCATGTGACTTGTCCCAGGAGCAGACGGCACACCAGGGTCAGAATTAGGACTGGGATCCAGCCCCAGTTATCCCCCCATCTGACCCATTCCCATCCAGGAAGCTGAAGATAAAAATTTGGGGAAACACACAAAGATCAAAGGGCAGTTTCTTCGCCCAAGCATTCGGTGCTAGTTATCACCCACTCAGCCCCTTCCTCCTCTGAGCAGTAATGGGGTGACCCAAGGGCCTTGGGGGTGAGCTGGGGTGGCGTGGTACAGTGCTCCCTGCAAACCACAGAAGACGAACCTGATGCTCTTTTGGCCTCATCTGCATCAACACTAAACAACTCCCTGAATCTTTCGCACATGCCAAGTGGACACTTCACCATTTCTCTCTGTGACTGCAACCACCTGCAAACCAGACTGAATCTAGAATTTTTTTTTTAATTTCTAATCTTGTTGTTTTATGAGGTGTGGGGTTTATAAGGGACTGAATCAAATGAATGTAACAAAAAAAAAGAAAAACAAAAAAAAAAAGCCTTTTCTCAGGGCCAGTGAGTTGCAAATAATTTTTAAAGAAAAGCCTATAATTGCATCATCTCAATAAATTTTTTATAAAAAAAAATCTGCGTCTCTGTTTTTAATAATATGGAGTCAGACAGGCCAGGTGGTTCAGTGAGGTGCATCCTGTCTACACTCAGTTATGGTGGAAAGTGTGGTCCTGGTTTCTCACTGGCAGGAAGCCTCCATCACAGAGAAGTCTGCAGGCAATCTTTGAACAAGAGGCCACAGAAAGGTCAGAGCACATGGTTCAAGTCTGAGCAGCTGCCACATGTGGAGAAATCTTCCAGAAGGAACCCCAATCGGAGATGCCTGGGTGCTATGCTGCGCCAAAGATTTGTCAGTTTGCTGCAGACTGACTTGACTCCAGGAGTTAAAGATCCCTGGGTCCTCCCACAGTAGAAGTGCTCCCTCAATTCTACTGAAATCACGGGCGTGCGAGTATAGGTGATGGGGTCAGGAATGTAGGGTAGAACTTGTGACTATACCCAGGGCAATAAAGACCTGGAAGCCCAACCATCACACAATTCAGAGCCACCCCCACACTCAGAAGGTCTCCACCACACTGACCAGTGGAGCCACCTGCCCACCAGTAGCCAATTATGACCCCAACATCAGACATCCTGCAGTGGATCAGAACTATCTACCTGCCATCCATCAGCGGTGGGTAGAAACTAAAAGGACGGAAAACAAAGCAATGAAAGCAATTTACATTGCTTATAAGCAACTTGGATGTAGGTTGCAGAAGCAGAAATTTAGAATCAATGTTTGAAAACAACACTCAGAGAATGTTGTGAGGTTATTTTTGTATTTTAACTTGTCCTAGGTTATTCTATGACCCATGACCTGGAGGTCTTCTCAGGTGGCGCTAGTGGTAAAGAACCCACTTGCCAACACAGGAGACTTAAGGGACATGGGTTCCATCCCTGGAAGGGAATGATCCCCTGGAGGAGGGCATGGCAACCCACTCCAATATTCTTGCCTGGAGAAACCCCATGGACAGAGGAGCCTGGTAGATCACAAAGAGTCAGACTCAACTGAAGCTACTTAGCATGTATGCACACCACAACTAAGACCCAGGGCAGCCAAATAAATTGTATTTTAAAAATACAATAATAAGGGTCTATGTATTTCCTAAGGTGGTAACAATGCATCTGAAGCTACTACTTCTATAACCAGTATCATGTCCCCTGAGAACTGCTAGAAATGGAAATGATGGTTCCTGTCCCATCAATTGAATCAAAAACTTTGGGAATAGGGCTTAGAAATCTTGTTTACCAAGCTGTCTGTGTGATCTGATGCACGCTTAAGTCTGGGAGCCACTGCTAGCATCAATCTATTCACCATAGTATGAAAAAGAGCATGTGGCCAATTAAAGTAAATACACACATTTATTGGTGACAACTAATTGGCATGAATCATTCTCACGATAATGCTAGTTTTTTTCCCAATACTATATATACTGTGGAAGGAGGCTAAATGGACCAAAGTCCTCTTCCTGCTTCCTCCAAACCTTTTAGGCCATCTGTGTGCTATAAAGATTAGCTGTTTCAAAGGGTGACTCTAACTGCTGACCTCCACTTGCAAATTAGAGCACAGCGATTCATCCCCTTCTATCCACTATCTGCCTAACTAGCCTAGTCTAAAAAGAAAAGAATCATTCTCATGTACTGACTGCCCTTGGCTGGCTGTCTCTGGAATTGTTAAGCAGAGCCCAGGTGAGCACTTAGCCTGGGGTTTTTTGCAAGAGACTCCAGAACCACTGGACCAGATCAGCGCTTTCAAACCTAAAAGTGCTTCAAATCACCTGGGGATCTGGATAAAAAAGCAGATTTTGTCAGTAACATCACCATCTTTGGAAGCAGGGGCAGAAGATCTACTCTGCTCCCCTACTCTATGGGTGAGGCTGGAGATACAGCATTTTTAACAAAAGATCCCCAGTGATTCTGATGAGGCTGATTCTTGAACCACACTTTGAGTAGCACGAGGCCAGTGATCTCCCGTCAAGCCCTGAGATTCTGACCTGCAAGCCACATTAAGCTCGCCTCTCTCTCTCTCTCTCTCTGGTGTATCCTGTTGCCAATTCCTTCTCTAGAATTGTCCCCAGGGCCAGTCCTGCTCTTCAAGAAA